TAGATAGATAGAAGCAGGGCTTGCTCTGTTTATACACTATATAAATCCATAGATAGATTGAAGCAGGGCTTGCTCTGTTTATACACTATATAAATCCATAGATAGATTGAAGCAGGGCTTGCTCTGTTTATACACTATATAAACCCATAGATAGATTGATGGACTACGTATTTCCCACACATTAGTAAATTGCATCTGGGCAGCCGGTCGTCAGCCAGTCGTCAGCTCATGGCTATTAATTGTGTGCACAGTCTGCTTGGCATTAGCAGCCCCCTTTTGTGTTTATGTTTATTGAAGATTGTACAACATGCAATACATTAATTACATGTTTTTTTATGTCAAAATGAAGTCACCTGTCCTTGTGATTTCAAAAACAGCAGTATCCAAATAGACACCATATCTCAGATGTCTGCCCTGTATTCAGGGGCTGCCACAGAGCAGATGTTTCCATTTTTGCAAATTTATGAATTTGATTAATTGATAATATCAGTAAAAGGGATAATTGTGAAAGGGGCTAAAAACACATAAGGGGGAGGGGAGGAAATAAAATAGCAAAACAAACCAAAAAAAGACAGTCAGAAAAGAAAAGAGAAAAAACAAATAAAAAAGGTTGGGGATAAGTTAAATTACCGATGGCAGAGGGACCCCCCAAACTGCACATCCCAGAACCCCAAACCAGGAGGACTCCAGATGCAAGCAGCCCAACCAAGCATCGCATGCAGGTCCTCTGGCTTGAACTGAACATTAAACAGATCTCACTCAAGGACCCAAGAACATTATGTCGTAAGCCAGGAGAGCATGCACCTCTGGACTATGTGTGCCCTAATTCATACTTAAGGGTTAACAGAAATGTCACCATACAGCCCATAAAACTAACGGTGTGTGAATGGTTCAGCCTTTGTCGAGGCCGCCAAACTCTCCAGCTGGTGGATCTTCTCCACAGCATTTCCATATCAAGGATGGATAGAATGACTGTCATGGCCATAGGATCTGCATGTTAGCTATATTTAGTAGGCGAATAAGCATTGATTTCTTATATGTGGAAATCGAGAGTGGAGTGTGAAGGAGGGCAGAGATTCCAGGGATAGAGGAGTCATTCTGTATGCTCGATGATAGTATTGGCTCCACCAAATGTGCAACAAATCTCCTATTGCACCTGAACACCTTCAGCTAGGATCCAAAAAAAGGTACCCACGCATGTAGGAGTCTGGCACCACTCATTTTGTCAGAAGCAGACTCGTTGTAAATTATGAAAAGAGACATGTGCCCATCAGGTTGAGCCTTTATCAGATTTGATTATTGCTGTATATTCGAAAGAAAATATGCAAGTATTTTTCCAATTGCAGTTTAAACATCTGTATGGACTCTGATCAAACCACCTCTTCAGGCAGAGTATTCCACATCCTTATTGTTCTTACTGTAAAAAAACCTTTCCATTTGCCTTAGACTAAATCTCTTTTCTTCCTGTCTAAATGTGTGACCACGTGTCCTAGGTAAAGTCCTGCTTATGAATAGATTTCCAGACATTGGTTTGTATTGGCCCTGGATATATTTGTATAATGCTAGCACAGTTTTTCCCAACTAAAGAGATTTAAATGTGTTAACGTCTCTTCGTAACTAAACTCTTCTTTCCTAGAGACAAGTGTCCGTATTGCTTTATCTATTTAGTGGATAGTTAATACATTGCTAAACACAAATACATACTCTAGTCAAGCCATACGACCTGCTTTTCCCACAGAAATCTCACTTTAACAGTGCTCTCACTAATGCAAGGTATTCTGGGTAGGCATATGCAAATTAGCTCAACTTTTTTGCCTCATAATTCCACTTTATGCATGGATTCCTTGGAGTATGTGCGTGCTGTATACAACAGCTTTGAAACACAACTCAGGAAGAGGAGCAAAGCCAGTGAACCACTCATGCTGATGAGTTGCATTAACAACGAAACAGCTGTCCATGAGTGGTTTACTGGCACAACTCTTTTGGTTTTGGTATGTACTTTATCTATTTATATCTAAATACATGTAAGAAATACAGCATTGGCAAAAACTCTAACTAGATATATTAATCTAATAAGTAAGGAATAATTGACTCCAGGCCATTGAATTATTAGAAAAATATTTTTAAATAATTTTTTCTAATAATTCAACCGCCTGGAGTCAATTATTCTGCTTATACTACTGTTATCACACCTCCAAACATTGTTCAGATGATGTATTTCAAGACGTTTGTCAAGTTTTTGTTATTAAAACGCACTTGTATGTAGGACTAATTTCTTACGCATCAATTCCCATGCTTTCGTTGCTAATTCCAAAAGGTAATTTAAGAGTTAGTAACGGAGATTTGAGCCACTGTTAGCAGACTAATGCAGTTATTAGTGCAGTTATTAGAGAGACAGAGAGAGGTTGCAATAATGAGACAGAAAAGCATGTACATCAATATTTAATTTATTTATTAATTCATTAGTTTTAATTCATTTGTTAATTTTATTTTTCTATTATTGACAGTAGGCTGTAACGAAAACCCGTGCAGCAGGGCTATCTATTTATCTATATTCAGTTCAATTTTCTATTGTTTATAGACAGGACTATATACTCTATTATTCCAATTAAACTGCACATTTCCATTGATTGTGAAGTTAGACATCGAAAATGGCAGATCAAGCGCATGGGGCTGCATGTTAGCAGAGGTATTTTTTCCGATTTCCTATTTTCCGTTATTACAGTTGACTACACAAAGTGATATGGAACTGTAATGCGGTCAAGACCTCTCTGAAACTACTTTAACCGTGCATCTCCCTGAAAATAATGCACACCTTAGAACGTTCGTCAACCAATCAGATTCAAGCATTCAACAGCCCTGTTGTATAATATTATTGTAATCTGTCTATCATGAAATAGAAATTAACCCAGCTGGGAGTGTTTCTATTTTTCAGAATTTATACTTATATCATTTACTGTTTATATATTTCGGCTAATTTTGATTCAGTTTGGGCTGGAAAAGTGGTTATTGTTCTTTGTGGCTTGAACTATCCTAAATAATTAGTCATCAGTGGATGGAAAGTAAATTAATATCAACTCTGTGTAATGACATAAATTTTTTTTTAAAAAAAGCTAATTTTATTTTTTAAAGACAATTGTCCTTTTTTTTAACTCAGTTCTTGCAAAACAGGACGCAGACGTCATATTCCTCAGTCTCTTCCCAGAACGTCTAGTAGTAAAAAATATCCAGCAGGAAATCCAAGTACAATGGACAGAAAATCAATAAATGACTTATTGTTTTTTTTTTTTTTTAAAGTTGTCACCTGTTCCAGTGCTTTAATAGCAGTTATCAGGAATTATTCTATAAACTATTCCATTCTTTGGAGATGAGATAGAAATAGCATCCTTGAAACCTAATTAACCATATTATTTTGCCATCGGACAATTTCTTAACCCTTCACCTTGCATATATTGGCTGTTTAATTGCTAATTTTAAAGCTCTCTTCCAGGGCTCCATTTTCTTATTTCTTCTTCTTATTATTATTATCATTATTATACAGTTATTGCAATATTGGTGTTAACTTAGAAAGGGAGTGCAGAGAGTTGAGACAATGTATTGGTTGTGTAAAAGTTGGCTACTTGTTTGTAGTTAGTTGTCCAATGTAGCCAGACTCCTGTGCTATAGCATTGCAGACTGCTCCACCTACAGAGTATGCTTGCATGTTGCAACAACTGCCAGAAAGGGACAGTAATGATCAGATTATTGTTACATTGTTACATAGTTACATAGCTGAAAAGAGACTTGCGTCCATCAAGTTCAGCCTTCCTCACATTTGTTTTTGCTGTTGATCCAAAAGAAGGCAAAAAAACCCAGTTTAAAGCACTTCCAATTTTGCAACAAACTAGGAAAAAAAATTCCCTCTTGACCCCAGAATGGCAGTCAGATGTATCCCTGGATCAAGCAGTTATTAGCCTACATTGAAAGATTATATCCTTGAATATTCTGTTTTTGCAAGTATGCATCTAGTAGCTGTTTAAACATCTGTATGGACTCTGATAAAACCACTTTTTCAGGCAGAGAATTCCACATCCTTATTGTTCTTACAGTAAAAAAACCCTTTCCTTTGCCTTAGACGAAATCTTCTTTCTTCCAGTCTAAACGCATGACCTCGTATCCTATGTTAAGTCCGGTTTGTGAATAGATTTCCACACAATGGTTTGTATTGGCCCCGAATATATTTGTATAATGTTATCATATCCCCTCTCAGGCAACGTTTTTCTAAACTAAAGAGGTTTACAATTTGTTATTGGTGTAAGAGAACTCAAATGTTTGTAGGCAATAATCAATCAAACATTACCGTTTATTTTCTAGTAACGTATTAAGAAGTTATGTTAATACAAGGTTTTAAGAAGTTATATTCCCACAAGTGACATTTTAATAAAAAAAACAGTAATAAGACCATTTTTTTTTTCCTTAAATCTATTTTTGTCACTTCTGTATGTGAAATCTGTTATTTCAATTTTGTCTAATGTCAGACCCCGCTTTTCTAACGAAAACACATTTGTTAGTGAAAGGTTTGATCTGATCTGCTTCACATAGAAGGTGGGAGTTGTAATATGGAGCGACACTCCACTGCCCAAATACAAAATAAGTAAAAATCACTGTTTAGTAAATAGACCCCAAATGAAAACATGCATGCATTTAATTATGCATTTTTAAATGGATTAAATGTATAAATTGCAAACCCTCCCAGACTTTCTGTCCAATCACAGACTTCACAATGCAGCTCAATGAACAGTCTTTGCAAGGCAGGTTGGTGGAAAATTGCTGCTTCTTGTCTTTATCTCCACTGAGCTAACCAAACCAGGAAGTAACAGGACTGGTTGTCTGATTGACAGTCAGGGTGTGTAATACAGTTCATTTATACAAGTGTTAACTGTGCATACATAAGGCATTTCAGCATGCTAAAGTGCTTTAAGGGTCTGGAGTGTTCTTTTAACACTGTTTTTTGGACATTATCAACTCTCTGTATATGTAGGGAGATAAAACAATGACTTGGGGGTATTTAACAAGGTAAAACTGTAGGAATTCTGTTAAAAGGGTTGCATATTGGGCAATCGTCATACAAACCAATCTAATATATAATCTAATGGTTCTCAAAGCTGAAACTGATACATAGGGCTCTATCTTCCAAGCATGACTGGAATTCATGGCACAAAGTCATATTTCTGGACTGTAAGGGCTAACATGGTCTGAATTTACGCCGATGGACACATGGTCGGCTGTTTTGTGGCAGTCGGAGGAAGAAGCTGTATACATTCTCTATAAACCAACCATCGAAACACGCACAAAGGAAAAAATTTTAATTTCATTAAATGTAACTTTAAAAAAATGAGAAGTGAGAATTTGATGACAGTTATCTTTTAATAAAGTAATCTAAATTTTAAAGACTATTAAGGGATAATATTCAGGAATGCATTGTGAAGAACATTGTTATCAGCAAAAATCAGCTTGGTTTTATGAAACATAATTCATGTCAACCTTTCTTGATTGCATTCTACAAAGAAGTTAGTAGATGCATAGATAAGGATGTTGGAGTGGATGTGATCTACTTGGATTTTGCCAAGGCATTTGATATGGTTCCACACAATGTGTTCAAACTCCAGAAACTGGTCTACAAAAAAATTCTTAAAGATGGAGTACAGACAGTTACATTTGCCTTGGGCGGCACTTTCCAGGGGGGGTGGCAAATTCTGCTCCCTCGCGCGCAGAAGAGTTATGCGGTGAGCCGGAATATTACGTCACATTCTGGATCCCGGCATCAGTCTGCGGTGAACTGCGCAGGGAGAGCTCACAAATCAGCACTCCCTTGCCGCCCCCGTGGTACTCAGCTAGCCGCCTGTCTGGAGATCAACTAGCCACCGGCCTGCCTGCCCAAACAGCCCGGCCAGCAGCCCCACAATGTATGTCTGTCAGTGTGTGTGTATGTCTGTCAGTGTTTGTGTATGTCTGTTAGTGTGTCTGTGTGTCAGTAAGTCTGTGTGTGTATATCTGTCAGTGCATGTCTGTGAGTGTGTCTATCAGTGAATGTGTGTATGTCTGTCAGTGTGTGTCTGAGTGATTGTATGTGTCTGTGAGTGAGTGTGTGTGTGTTTGTGTGTGTGTGTATGTATGTCTGTCAGTGTGTGTCTGTGAGGTAGCCTGTGTGTCTGAGTGACTCTGTGTATCTGTCAGTGTGTGTCTGTGAGTGTGTGTGTGTCTGTGAGGGAGCCTGTGTGTCTAAGTGATTGTGTGTGTCTGTGAGTGAGTGTGTCTGTCAGTGAATGTGTGTGTGTCTGAGTGATTGTATATGCCTATCAGTGTGTGTATGTCAGTGAGTGTGTGCGTGTCTGTCAGTGATTGTGTGTGTCTGTCAGCGTGTGTCTGTGAGTGAGTCAGTGATTGTGTGTGTCTGTCAGATTGTGTCAAATCAGTGAGTGTGTATGTCAGTGTATCTGAGAGTGTGTTTCTGTCAGTCAAAGTGTATGTTAGTCTTTAACAGGAAGAGGTGTGGCCTTGACAGGTGCCCGAGTTCTGTCATGCCTAATGTGTATGTCAGTGTATCTGAGAGCGTGTTTCTGTCAGTCAAAGTATGTGTTAGTCTTTAACCCCTTAAGGACACAACTTCTGGAATAAAAGGGAATCATGACGGAATATTTCCGTCATGTGTCCTTAAGGGGTTAACAGGAAGAGGTGTGGCCTTGACAGGTGTCCGAATTCCGTCATGCCTAGGACAGTACAGATCCAAAATACACCACTGAGTACATAGAGTTGTCATTAATGGTAATTTTTCAAGCTGGACAAAAGTGGTAAGTGGTATCCCTCAGGGTTCTGTTTTGGGACCGCTTCTATTTAACATATTTATATATTTTATCTCAAAATAGGCTTTAAAAGCCATGTTTCAGTGTTTGCACAAAACTAGGTAAGGTAATACAATGTGAGCAGGATATTACT